CGATATTATTAAATTAACCCTTTCAGCATTTTATTTCTTTCGCTTAGTATTTTAAAGATTTCCTTTATCTTTTAATGTTTTTTTTTTTTTTTTTTTTTTTTTTTTATCTTTCTAGCTTTGTCAAATTCGTTGTTTTTCGTTTTTTTGTGTTCAATTCCGGCTCTCATTTAGCTTATTGAGTTTCGATTTTTCGTTTTTAAGTATTCATTTCTTTATTCTTTTTTCTTTTTATTGATTTTTTTTCATATTCGCCTTTTCCTCTAGCCTTGACCCACGTTATTTGCCAACATTTCCTAAACCTTTCAACATTCCCATTTAACATTTTACAAGTCTGACAATTTTCCACCTCATTCCCTCACCCCTTCACCCCACCCCCTTACCCTCAGGTCCGAGCCATGACCTCCTCAGCGGTCACAAGGGCGACCTTTAACTTTTCCCTCTTCATTTCTCTCTCTCTCTCTCTCTTATTTCCGTTTTCCTCTGCCTACTTAAGAAATAAAATAAATCCAAAAAGTGTCGTCTTTTCCTCTGTCTACCAAATCGGGATTATCCAAATCTTTTCCAAACACCCATTCAACATTTTCCAAACTTGTTCAACTCCCATTCAACATGTTCTACTCCATTCAACATGTTCCAAACTCGTTCAACATGTTTCATACCTTTTCAACACCCATTCAACACGTTCCAACACTCTCATTCATGTTCCAAACCTGTTCAACACTCCCATTCAACACGTTCCAGCACTCCCATCCAACATGTTCCAAACCTGACCATTTCCCACCTCACTTCCTCCACCCTCCTTCTTCTTCCCTCCACCACAGGTTCGAGCCACGACCTCTTCAGCGGCCACAGGTACTACTACTCGTGGCTCGACCCTTCCAACGCCAACACCTTCCTGGACTGGGTCGACGCGAGAAACTGGTGCCGGAGGAGGTGCATGGATCTCGTGGCCTTCGAAGACGTCAGGGAGTACCAGATGGTGTCCAGGAGGATGGTGGCGAGCAGTGAGTTGATTGGGGGGGGGGAGGGATATGGGTGGGATGAGGGGGGGGGTGATGGGGGAGAATGGGAGGGAGGGATTTGGGTGGGATGAGGGGGTGAGGGAGAGAGGAGGGGGAGGGAGAGAGGAGGGGGGAGGGAGGGAGGAGGGAGGGAAAGAGGAGGGAGGGAGGAGGGAGGGAGAGAGGAGGAGAGGGAGAGGGAGAGGGAGAGGGAAGGAGAAGGAGAAGGGGAAGGGGAAGGGGAAGGGGAGGGGAGGGGAAGGGAAGGGGAAGGGGAAGGGGAGGGGAAGGGAAGGGGAAGGGGAAGGAGAAAGAGAAGAGAAGGAGAAGGAGAAGGAGAAGAAGGAGAAGGAGAAGGAGAGGAGAGAGAGAGAGAGAGAGAGAGAGAGAGAGAGAGAGAGAGAGAGAGAGAGAGAGAGAGAGAGAGAGAGAGAGAGAGGAGATAGATAGATAGATAGATAGAGAAAGAAAGGAAAAAAATCGAGAAAATATAAAAGAATTAAAAGAGAGAACAAAAAAGAAAAGAAAAAACAAAAACAAAAAACAAAACAAAACAAAAAACAAAACCAACCCCCACCCCACCTACCTTTCTCAAACAGGCAACAAATTCTACTGGACTTCCGGGCGTCGCTGTGACTTCGACGACACTTGCCTGCGCCACGACCTCCAACCCGTCGACGTCAACGGCTGGTTCTGGTCCGCCTCCAACAAGAAGATGCGACCGACCAATCAGAGGAGCCCGTCGAATGATTGGTCGTACACGGGAGGGTGAGTTGCAGGAAGGGTCCAAAGTTGATTTTTTTTCGTTATTTCTGTTTTATTTCTTTTTTTTTTAGTTTTTGTGTTTAAGTGTGATGTATTTGTAAATGTTGGGTCGATTGGGTGAGGTACATCACTGTAACTTACCCAGTCTCTTCTTTCTTTCTGTTCTTTCTCTCTCTCTCTTCTCTTCTCTCTCTCTCTCTCTCTCTCTCTCTCTCTCTCTCTCTCTCTCTCTCTCTCTCTCTCTCTCTCTCTCTCTCTCTCTCTCCTCTCTCTCCTTCTCTCTCTCTCCAATTGGTCTTTTTGCTTGAATAGGCTTTGTTACGTGTGATGAACAAATTATTGGTGTTTAGTGATTGGCAAGATAAGTTATTGAAGCTTAAATAACGAATGTCCTTCCTTTACCACCCTGGCGTGTGATACAATTAATTACATGGCCATAGCAGTATGTAAGAGCATTACACTGGAAATTTAGGCCGTAGCATTATCATTATCTGTATTATATCAGTTAAACGGAAAGAATAATTACATAGTCTATTGTATATTTATCTACCACGCCGGAGTAGAGATTGGGCGTGGAAAGGCATATATTTGATATATACATTCCAAATTTAGGATACATCAATTTATCTTCCAAGAGATCAGATGATATGAAACTGTTACATGGTTCGCCGTGACCTCATGTTAGGTGGTCTGAAAGGCTGGAACACAAGACGTTGAGATATAATGTACAAGTGTTCGCTTATATTCTTCGTCACATGGTTTGTACTTAGTTTCTTCGACATTGCAAGCTGTCCTGACCTACCGATATAATCTATATCCAATCCTGATTCTTGCTGTCACAATATCATAGTTTTATTATTATATAAGCCACAGATGAATACATCTCGCGTAAACCGGCCATTGTGCTGTATGTTACAGCTTTCAGGCCGTTGAGAATGAATCAACACGGTCAAGTCCTCTTTGAAGGGAGTTTAAATGATGTGTGACATTCTAGCAAGAGAGGTTTAATTTCTATTTCAAGGTTTATTTCTATTTCTATTTCAAGGTTTATTTCTATTTCTATAAGATTTCTATTCACACTTTGCTTGTCACATGCTGATCTTCCTAGGCGATCAGCATGGTCAGGCCTAGGGATTCCAACATGCGATATTATCTACACATAACGTATATCACGGCTTCGTTCTTTTGCACGTCCATCCCGATGTCATTTGCAATATTTTTTTTGCAACTCTATTTAGTGTTTAGAGCCTGGAGAACGATCTATGAGTCGAAAATGAGCCCTAAGCCATGATTTAACAGAAATTCGGTGGTCGTGAGTATTCCTACCAACTCAATATGCGTTTTGCTGGCCCAGTCTTGATCCCTCCTATAATCCTGGTGCTGCAAAACAATGTTAATACCATAAACGTTATTATCATCATTATCATTCTTGTTTTATTGTTGTTATTACTATCATTATCATTGTGAGGAGTGTGTTAAGAGAGGAGCACACAACACATCACCATATAAGGCTATTCCAGACAATGGAGAGAGATGAAGGTATAATTATTCTCAGTTCTGGGTCTTCACTTTTTCTGTCCTCTTCTTTTCCACTTCGCTTCTTTTCCTTTCCCTTGTCTTATTATTTCCACTTTCTTGTTTTTCTATCTTATTCTTAACTTTCCGTTAATTTTATTCTTATCTTTCTTTTCCACTGTTTTTTTTTTCCTTTTTCAAACCCTCTCTATGTACAAAAAAACAAAACAAAAACAAAACAAAACAAAACATTGTTGTTGATAGTTTACATGCGGATGCGTTGAGTAGGCCTACATTACCGTATACGTGAATTAATTATATTGTTTTTGCTGTTCATAACTGTCGTTTCGAGATAACACGTAAAGGTCACTGACACTATGTAAGTCAAGATAAGGGGTTTATAGGTATTAGTATGACGTATGGTGTGTTTGTACGAATATTTGCGCTAGTGTTTACTCTGACCAGTAAGGAATCATAATAATTAGAAATCACCAAGATAATAATTATGATAATTGGAAAGCACCAAGATGGTAATTATGATAATTAGAAATCACCAAGATAATAATTATAATAATTAGAAATGTTTGATAATTATTTCTTATAATAATTAGAAATGTTTAGTGTTTGTATTCTTGAAGGCCTTGTTATTCTGTAAATTCATAGAAATATAAATAGGGTTTATTTTGGTTGTGCCTATTAAAAAAAAAAAAAAAAAAAAAAAAAAAAAAAACGGATACAAAACAAGCCGATAATTCATTCTTCCTCTCTCTTCTTAATCATTACTTTCCTCCTTTCTCTCTCTGACTTACCTTCCTCCTCTCCTTCTTTCGCTTCCCTCCCACTCACCCTTTCTCTCTCCCATCTTTTCCCTCACCATTTCTTCCATTCTCTCTCTCTCTATGCTTTCTCTTCTCTTTCTCTTCTTCCCCATCCTTATACCTTTCATCATTCCCTTCTCTATTCTCTTCCTTCTTTCCTTCCTTGTCATTTTCCTTCGGTTCTTTCTCTCTACTCTCTATCCTCTATCCTTCCTGTCCTCTCTACACCTCTCTATTATCCTTCTTCCTCCTCCTATCCCCTCTTTCTACCCTCTTCTCTCCTCTCTCTTATCCTCCGATGATTTTTCCTTTTTCTCATTTTCTTCTACTCTGCCTTCTCTCGTTCTCTGTTTTTCCTTCCGTCTGCTCTCTTCCTTCTCTTTATCCTCCTGTCTTCTCTCTCCCTTTTCTTTATCCTCCGTTTTCTCTCTTCCTTCTCTTTTTAACCTCCCGTCTTTCTCTCCTCTTCTCGATTATTACTTACTTTATCTCATCCCCTCTTCTAACCTATTTCCTCTCTCTTTTAAAAACACAGCAGGCCCAGGCAACCCCATCCTGACATCCGCGAGATATAGGCAACCCCACCCTGACAACCGCAAATTCTCATTCCATATCCTAACCTCCTCCTTCTCTCTCTCCAAATAAAAATGTCAACAAGAACCACCGCGAATTCTCGTCGCCTCTTCGAACCTCAATCTATTTCTCTAAATGTGAACAGCAACCTCAATCTCTCCCTTCACAACCACAGTTACGAACCCCTTTAAAAATACTTCAAATATGAAACAACCTCAATCTCTCCTTCAAAGCACAGGTACGTCTCCTTCGAACCCCAATCTCTTTCTCAAAACAAAAACATCCTCAATCTCTCCCTTCAAAAACACAGGTAGCCCCCTCTTCGAAC